GCCTTTCCTGGGACTCACTTGGTAGCCCAGGCTGGCCTCGAACTCACAGAGATCCTCCTGGCTCTGCCTCCCGAGTGCTGGGATTAAAGGCGTGCGCCACCACCGCCCGGCTAAAACCTTTCTTTTTAATTAGACAAAGAGGGGTAAATTCTGTGGAATAATCCCTGTGTATACTGTAAAGATTTGTCCCTGTGACTGGTAAATTAGACAAGCTGAATGGTCAGTAGCTGAACAGAATAAGGTTAGGCAGGAGTCAGTAGTCACCAGCAGATGCAGAGAAAAGGTACCAAGCCAATTGGCAAAGCACAGATAAGAAATACAGGTTAATTTAAATGTAAGCATTAGCTAGTAACAAGCCTGAGCTTTTGGATGAGCAATAGATAGATAGATAGATAGATAGATAGATAGATAGATAGATAGATAGATAGATAATATTAAGTATTTGTGTTGGTTATTTGAGAATTGGCTGGCGGGAAAAGAAAGTCCTCTTACACTTGACAGTCCTTCAAGCTTTTTAAAACCTTGTCCCCTTTCTCACTTAAAGTAAAAGTTCTGGTAGAATATCCAGGCTCTTTGTGTGTGTGTGTGTGTGTGTGTGTGTGTGTGTGTGTGTGTGTGTGTGTGTGCTACAAGCCCTTAATGAGGCAACTGTGCTTGAAGTCCAGCTTACCACAATTTTCTTTCCTCTTAGTTTTAAACTCTTTTCTTCATAGTTTTATATTGGGTTTAAAAGGCCATATATTACTCTATTGATTAAAATAGACTTCTGAAGAATGGTTAGATATTAGTTATAAAAATCAATCTTGGAGTGGCATAGGGGAAAGAAGTCTCCAGATATCTAAAGAAAAGAGAAAAACAAAGTTGTTTATCTGGGATTTTGAAACAAACTCATTGAGGGGCATTGTGAACTTGTCTAGAAATGTCATGTGAAAGCCCTTTCTGGGCAGGCTCCTATACAGTCTCAACCAGTCTCAGACAGGTCTTACTACTGATTTGAAATTAATGAATCTGTAGCCTGGAAACATATCAGGATTATGACCAGTACTTCAGGTGAATAGTTTGAGATTAGGAAGGTTTCTAGGTAGACATCAGAGAAAATATTCTGTAATGTTTACTGCTGGATAATTAGAGAACTTGTCTCAGTAATACTATCTTAGCTCACTGACATCAACACAGGACATTATGATCTGTTTACATTACCAAATAAGGTTGTAGCAGAAAAGGATAAGCATGGACAAGCAGTTTATATAGCTCTGTCTGAGCTGTTGTAACAACAAAGCACAAACTAAGCAGCTTCAGCTCAGTTCATTTCTTATATTTCTGGAGGCCTTTGATTAAGATGTCAATTAATTCAGCTCTTTGTAAGAATTCTCTTATAGCCTACAGACATATGTGTCCTCACTATGGCAGAGAGAGAGAAAGAAAATAGGGAAAGGAGGAAGTGGGAAAAGGACAAGGGACAGGGAGAGAGGAGAGGGAGACTATGGGAATAATTGAATAAAGGCATGTGAATCTTTGTGCTCACTTTCTCTTATTAGGACACCATACCCTTCTGACTGGGTCTACACCTACTCATGTCCCAAAGGCCTCACCTTCAGATACCATCATGAGGGTTAGGACTTTATTACATGAATTTTGACAGCATAAACATTAAGTACACAATACACCCCAAACTGAATCCTAGTTGTTGATTCTATCTGATAGGAGACCTAGGTTTTCTCCTTTATTTCATCTACCACCTTTCAGGATTAAATAAATAATAAAAGGCATAATGTTGATTCTTTTATTCTTCATGTCTACTCTAAACTCAGGATATCTTTCCTATTGAATCTCATTTATTCCTTCTCTGGTTTTGTAGTATAAGAAAATACATAAAATATAGTTCAGGTATGAAGACCATAACCAGCAAACTCCCATATTCCATGCTCACCTAATAAGAATCTTTAAGGAAATGTTAATATCAATGCATTCTTGGGTGCAGTTCTGAACTAGAGTCCATGAGGATAATGGCAAAGCATGATAGGAAGTTTGCAGAATCTCTGTAGAGTAAATAGGTAGTCCAGTACCTCCATGTTCATCACCACAAAATGATCTGGAATCTTGGGCAGGAAATAAGAATTGTAAAAATCCTAAGGAGAGAGTCACAAATGCTAGGTTCCCTGATGGCTTAGATAGAGAAGAAAGGTCACTAAGTGAGGACAAAGTATGATCATCCATATAAGGATAGCCTAAGAAAGTTGTAAGATGAAAACTTAAAGGAAAATAAAGAAAACATGGATATGTAGCCTTTTGATTCAGAAAGCCAGGCATGCATAACCTCCTGTGGAGGGCTATGAGTTGGATGTCTAAGAGACATTAACAACTGTAGAGTCACCTTAGTGGTTATCCATTGTTGCTAGATGTGCTGTGGGAGACACTTAAAAGGAGAAATATTAAAAGCACCACCCCGCCATTCAAAACTTAAGTGCAAATCCAGGAGGGATCAAACAGTCTTTTATATCATTACAAACTTTTCAAAAAATAAAGAGCCAAAGGCCATAACCTCTGCTCTTGTCTGATTTAATTGGAAAATTTCGTGTGTTAGCTGTAATGGATAATGCAGAAACTTAGCTGACCATGGGCCCTTAATATATTTAGCTAGCTCCTTGGGTGCTAAACTAACATTCCTCATCTCAAAAATTATCATACAAAGTAAGGAAAAGTGAGGGTCCATAAGTCATCAGCCTTTAGAGGGTACTAAAAATAAGACAGGGCAGTATATATATCACCCATCCTGGGTTATTTCCTCCTTGATGGAAGCAGGATGATCTGTGGCCAGGTGCACATCTCTTGCTGGGACCCATATTGGACCCAAACTGACAGCTATGTTCTCCTTGACAGGTGTCCCAGAGCCCAAACTGACAGTTATGTTCTCCTTAACAGATATCTCAGGGCCCAAACTGACATCTATGTTCTCCTTAACAGATATCTTGTGGCCCAAATTGTCTGTCTCCTCATCACTGGATTTCATAGACATATCCACCATGGGAGTGTTGGGGGTGATGAAAAGATTACCCATCTTTTAAAGGGAAACAGCAAGCAAACAACAGTCAGAAGATAATAGTCAACAGTGGTGAAATTTGTATAGGACCCTTATGTCTTGTGCTTAGTGGGGGATTTCCCTGGTTTGCCCACATGGTGTCTTCAGACAAGGGACAGTGTTCAGGGGCAGAGGCTTGGTTCTACCTCCTTGGGGTTCAATCTGTATGTGGTGATGCCAGATGAATCAAAACAGAAAAAGAAAATGTGCCTTCCCAGCAGGATGAGCAGACAAACATGACAGACAACACAAAAGAAGGAAAGAAGTGGGGGTCCCAATGCTTACCTGTCAAAGGGACTGAAAGAACACAACACTGAGGGGTCTTTTCACCAAAACACACCATCTTGGAAGTGCTGTCAAGCACCATGAGTGAAGAGAGGGAGACAATCAGAACTTGTGCTGGGAGAGAAAAAGTAATGGAGGCCCCATGTTCAAGCATCAGATGTTTGCTGGATCCCAACAGCTCCCTCAGGGGAGAGGGTGAGAAAGCACCAGGAGTCAATTGAAGGCAAAAAATAAACTCATTTATTTAATAGTGGAGAAGGTCTTATATTGCCAGGGATGGCATATAAGATGCCTGATGTGCTGCCAGCAGAGATTGGAGAGAAGGGGACCTGAGACTGTGGACCATCAACCCTCCATGCGTTCCCCTCTGGATCTTGTGCTTAGCATGCCTCTAGAGGGCCAAAGCAGAAATTCCAAACGTCCTAACGTCATGCGTTATGGCATGCACATGTCATCTTTTCCTCCATATAATTATTTCTTGTAATACTAGTCTTTTTCATCTGTCTGATCTTCATGTTCTGTGTTCCTAGATCAATGGTGATTTCTGTGATACAGGAAAGGAGTGAAATAAATTTCATGGAAATTATACAGAGATGATCACCCAGGCTGGGGTCAAGGCAGATATGCAGTTCATGGGAAAAAAAACCTGCAGCCTGGGGAAGCTTTTCAGGCTTGGATAAACTATACTGAATGTGTGGTCAACTATAGCACATGATATGTGTATCAACACACTGGACTCAAATTGGCCATGATGAATAATTCAGTTTCTGAGGATATTCCAAGGGCATTGTGTAAAACTTGAGACCCTAAGGGGTATTGGCTGAAGACTGTGGATGGAGTAACATATAGATGGGATGACAAACTAAAAGTGTGGGAACCTAGAATAGGAAGAAGATAGTGGCCTCCACCAAGAAAGGAAGATGCAACTTTAATCCTGATATTTTGATTCCTCCTGAAGGAGTATGGAGATAATGTTGCAATGGTTGGAGTGGTTGCTGCAAGTTTTATTGGGTTCCTAGATTGAAAAGAGATACCAGGAAAGGTGAGCTCCTTTCATGGAAGCTCTGAAAATTGGATCAGGCCTTCCTTAGAATTGTTGGGATAAGAAGGATAGAAGTTGCTGACTTGTAGGGGCAGATTTCTTGTCTGAGGTCACTGTGGCCTACCAGTCATGGGGCTTGGTGTTTACAGAGGGCTGAGGAGGAACTTAGGCAGCTGCAGGGGTCTTGAGATCAGAGCAGGCTCTGTGAGTAGGAGATGACTGTCTGGTACACTGACCACTATTCTTATTTTTACCTTTTTTTTATGAAATTGCATGTTGCTAGCCTCTGGGTCAAGTGCTCAGAAGATTGTATAATCATTAATAATAAAAATAGATTATTCTTGCTTTGGTGATAAATCTGGGATAGTTCCTGTCTTTAGTAAAAGATGATGAAGACTATATTGGTGATTTTCTAAGAATAACCTTTGGAATCATGAGAACATTCTATATTGGGTGATTTCCCCTTTTCTTTCTGTTTCCCCTTGCTTATGATAATAAAAGACTGAGGTTACCAAGGCAAAACCAGCAGCTAAAGAAGCTGTAGCAAAGAAGCTACTTAGCAACTGCAGAACCCAAAGTGACCTGTCAGCTTACCTGAACACTGTCTCTGAATCATTACTGCACCTTCCAGGTATCCTTCCTTCAGACCCCCAAAACTGCTGAGGCTGGTCATCAGCATTATATACCCTTCTCCCAGCACCTAGTCTGTGTCACAATCTGGTGGCATTGAGTGGTCATTGCCATTGACTGGGCACAATCAGGAAGTCTGACAGCACCTGTTGCTAGGCCTTCAGGCAGACTCCAGGTTGGCTCATAAGGAAGTACATTATGTACATGCCTTGGCAACCAGTTTGAGCCAATTTCCTCAATCCTATGGGCCTGTCCTACTACACTTCTGCACACCATTTTATTACACCAAAGACAAACCAAAAACAGACATGCACAGATACATACAGACACACACGCAGATGCACACACACACACACACACACACACACACACACACACACACACTGGGGGGGGTAGTTATGTATTGAGAATATAACAGAACATCAAAGTATAATTCCAAGAAGGACCATTGGCAGAGTGGGTTAAAAAGAGACTTCCACAAGACTGCACTCATTGCAGGTATATATTAACAGTACCCCAGAGAAGAGCAATGAAACAAACCAAAGTAAAAGACATCCATGAATTCTTTTTAAATGGAGTTTATCTTTACATATAACAGGGTAAGATATCTTTTTCTCTTGTTTGAGGAAGACTTTGAAAACTTCTAAGGTTTGCACATCTATGTTACCAAATTCTCACTTTGAGGGAACAATGTCTCCATGATTCACCTCATAAACTATCAAGGAAGAATGCCAGTAGCAACAAGTCTCACACTGCCCTGTGTCTGCTGGTAGAGGTCTTTGTTTCTTGGTGTATGCTCAAGAAAAATATTTTAAGGTTGATCTATTTTCTATATCTTTTTCATTTGTTTCTTCGGTGTTATATGATTTTCATTGTAGACATTTCTATGTCACAGGTTAGATTTGTGCCTAGGTATTTCATTTTTGTTGAGGTTGTTGTTCTCCTGATGTATTTCTCTGTAGGTTCATTACTACCAGGTTTTTCTATTTTGAAGCTGAATCTTCCTACTTTACTAAATTTTTTGAGTGTGAATGTCTTTTGTTAGAGTCTTCAGTGTCTTGTATATGTAGATCTATATCATCTCTCAATAGGGTAATATGACTTCTTCCTTCCTACTTGTTTAACCCTTTTTTTCCTCTTACATTATTTCTCTGGCTACAATACAAGGAATAGATATATAATATGAATGGAGACAGTGGCCATTGCTACCTTCCTTTTGATTTAGAAGAAATGTTTGAAGTATTTCTCTACTTAGTGAACTGCTAGCTACATATTTGCATATGGGATATAAGTACATCTATAATCACATACATAATTATATGCTTGTTATTTACAGTATTATGTAGAATATGTTTTTTTCTATTTATAGCTCTTTAAGAGATTTACCATAAAGGGGTGTTAGATTCTTGTCAAAGATATTTTCTACATTTGCTTACATGATCATGCAACTTTTGTCTTAGAGTCTATTTATATTCTATCTTGTACTTAACTGATTTATGAGCCACCAATTCATCCCTAAAATGAAACCAACTTCCTTATATTTTAATTTGTTGCTGAGTCCAATTTGAACATACTTTGTTCATGATTTTGCTTTTTAAGAATATTGTCTATAGTTATAATTTTTTTAGTGATGATCTTTGCTGGTGATTTTGCTTTTGATAGTATTGTCCCTGAGATTATTGTCTATAGTTATATTCTTCAGCTGTGCACTTAACTCAATTTTGGAATCAGAGTATTTGTTGCTTATAGAATGACTTGGGGAGTGTTCATTTTATTCTAGTTTTGTAGAACAGCTTAAAGAATATTGGAAGTTGTTATTCTCCAAAGTCTGGTAAATTAATTGCTGCAAGCTACAGGAAAATGTAATGGAACTCAGCTACTATCACAAAAACTACTACTTGGAAAAGTCAAGGACTTTTCCAAAGGTCAAGTCATGGCTTAAGAAGTCTTGGTGGTTTTATATATATATATATGCTGGTTCCTAAAATTATTTTCTTGTGTCCTTTCAAAAATTCCCAACAGTGTATTTATCTAAAATGCCTATCAAGCATCCAAGGCCAAACAAACAATACCTGTCTCCTAGGTCAGCAAGATAGCTTTATTTCTTATGCAATTTAAGGTAAGACTCTCCTTCCTTACAGCCTTACTAACATTATAGACTCCTAACTTCTTACCTAACCACTTCTAGGAGTGTAGATTGAGCACATAAATTCCCTTTTTGATACACTAATTAATCATTACCTCTCTATTGACCTCCTCCTTTACCACTCTTCTTTTGGGTTGTAAAAGAAAACCTGGTGGTCACTGCCTGAGGAAAATTCTTACCTGCCTTTATGACCTCACAAGAATTCAAGCCTGGTGACCTTGCTCTGCCAGAAGATTGCTATTCCTTGGGTTTATGACTGGATTCCTGAGAGACTTAGGGAGAACGGAAGGTATAAGGAAGCACAGAGAAGAATTTGAGATATGGAACTTGGAGATGAGACAGAGAGAGACAAGAGAACAGAACTAGAGAGGAATGAACTAGATGGGGAGAACTAGATTGAAGGACTAAAAGAGAGTACCAGAAGAACAAGATAGAAGATGAGGAAGAGTCAGATGGGGAGAACAAGATGAGAGAGAAGGAGATGGGAGAGGGCTGATATGGGAAACAAACTAGATGAATGAAAACCTAGATGAGGCAGAACCAAGATGAAAGAATTAAGATGGAACTTAGAGGGGACAGCACATAAATGTAGAGAGAAATCAGGCAAGAAAGGAGGTAGACTTGAGAGCAGAATAGAAGCTTGTAGAGGCAGAACTGACACAGAATAATAAAGTGTATGGACTTAGGAGTTTTGTGTACATCAATTCATTTCATATCATCAAATATTAATTACCAGCTGGTTTTAGATTCTTTCTGGACCCTGGGAAGCGACTATCAAGGGGATGGACCCCCATAGCCCCCAATAATTAATCACTAAATCTGTCCTTTCTTGGGTTTTTCTTTGGCAGAAAACTTTTATTGTCTTATTTTTTATTATTACTGGATATTATCTTTTTATTTCTACATCCTTCAATTTTGGTGGGTTATATATACCAGGATATTTCCCCATTTCTTCTAGATAAGGATATACATTTCCAGAATATTCCTTACTGTTTTCTGCAGTTCCATTGTATCCCTTGTAGAAATTCTAGTTGTTTCATTTATCATGCATATGGTTCTCATTGGCAGTATTTCATTTATTTCAGATGTATTTATTATTTCTTTCCTTGTGTTTATTTCAGGTTTGCCTGGTTTTAGTTTTTGTTAAGCCCTGAAGTGCATAATTGGGTTATTTATTAAATATTTCTCTGAGTTTTCAAAATGGCATATCTATAAACTTCCTTGTTAGAACTGCCTCTGCTCTTTGCTTAAGAGTTTGATACAATATGTTTCTACTTTCATTTGATTCTAGGAAATTTTCACCATTTTATTTTCAATAAAACATGTCTATGACTACAAGTTTACTCTTGAAGTTAACTGTTGAATCTTGCTTTTTAATCAAATCAGCCCATTTGTCTTTAAATTGGAAAATGAAATCCATTTACAATAAGGGTTATATTTGGTAGGTAATTACTATTACTACTACTACTACTACTACTACTACTACTACTACTACTACTACTACTCTCCTATTGGGATTTATTTTCCATGCTCCCAAGTTTTATTTGCTTTCCTTCTGTGTGCACAGTGTGTTTTTGAAGCTGTCTCCCGATCATGAACTGCTTTGAATTGTGCTTGCCGTGGCTTTATTTCTTCCTTTATATTGAAGGTAACAGTCCTGGGAATAGACATCTAGGTTGACAGGGTTTTTTGTTTTTATTTATTTTCCCCAAGGATTTCAAGTACATAATTCCCGGAGCTCTACCTGGGGCCTGGCCATGGATCTCTGCATCCACTTCCATCAGTCATTAGATGAGAGTTCTATCACAACAGTTAGGGTGTTTCACCATCCAATCATCAGAGTAGGTCAGTTCGGGCTTTCTCTCAACCATTGACAGTAGTCTATTGTGGAGGTATCTTTGTGGATTTCGGGGGACCTCTCTAGCACTCTTCTTTTTCCTATTCTCATGGGGTCCTCATTTATCACAGTCTCTCTTTCCTTGTTCTCCCTCTCTGTTCTTGATCCAGCTTGAACCTTCCGCTCCCCTAAGCTTTCTTTCCCCTAACCCTTGCCCTTCATTACGCCCCCTCATGACCAGTTTCCTCATGTAGATCTCATCCATTTCTCTGTTATTGAGTGATTCCTGTGTCTTTCTTAGAGTCCTCTTTACTAGGTAGCCTCCCTGGAGTTGGGAGTTGCAGTCTAGTCACCCTTTGCTTTACATCTAGTATCCTCCTATGTGTGAGTACCTACCATGTTTGTCTTTCAGAATCTGTGTTACCTGACTTAGGATGATATTTCCTAGTTGCATCCATTTGTCTGCAAACCTCATGATGGCATTGTTTTTCTCTGCTGAGTAGTATTCCATTGTGTATATGTACCATGTTTTATTTATCCATTCTTCAGTAGGCATCTAGGTTGTTTCCATGTTCTGGCTATTAAAAACAATGCTGCTATGAACATAGCTGAGCATGTGCCTTTGTCGTATGATTGAGCATTCCTTGGGTATATGCCCAAGAGTGGTATAGCTGGGTCTTGGTGGAGATTGATTCCCAGTTTTCTAAGAAAGCACCATATTGATTTCCAAAGTGACTGTATAAGCTTGTATTCCCACCAACAGTGGAGGAGAGTTCCCCTTGCTCCACATCCTCTCCAACATAAGCTGTCTTCACTGTTTTTGATCTTAGCTATTCTGACAGGTGTAGAGAGGAGGGATTGTGTGAGCAAGAGATGTTAAGACAATGATTGGAAAAAGCACAGGAACAAAGAACCAAACTAGTGGAAACACATGAACTATGAACCAATAGCTGAGGAGCCCCATGGAACTGGATCAGGCCCTCTGGATAAGTGAGACAGTTGATTAGCTTGAACTCTTTGGGAGGCCCCCAGGCAATGGGACTGGGACCTGTTCTTAGTGCATAAGCTGGCTTTTTGGAGCTTAGGGCCTATGCTAGGA